AGCAGGGAGCCCAGCACTGGGGACCCTGGGATCATGACCTGAGCCAAAGGCAGACGCTTAACCGACAGAGCCACCTAGGTGCCCCTCATTTGTATATTTTAACTAAAATGTTTGGTGGGGCGTTGGATCCCACTCAGGCAGGATAATACTATTTCTCTCGGATTGACTCAAGGGTTATTATCATATCACTTTGCATAGAGCTTACCTTGTTCCTATTTCTATCTCATTGAAAAAGTCAAAATTTTCACTGTCAAAATTAAAGAATTACAAGTTTGTTTCATATATTTTCCTGTATTTTTTACATTCTGATAATTAGAAAATTTCCCAGAAATTAGAGGTGTAGTGTCATGGCAAAATAAACCTATTTATAATTGTTCAAGTAAATCTGTTCAAGTGTTCTTTTCCTATGAATTTCATTGCAACTAAAAATACTTTGAGGACTGACCTACATTGGAATCATTATAGCATTACTACATCCCAAACCAACTCATTATCTCCTCCTTAGCACTCCCACAATGTCCTGTGCAAACTATAACAATGTTTCTCACACTGTATTATTATTATTATGTGTCTGTCTTTCCAAGAATAACCCTTAGCCTTTATTATATACAATGGAATCAGCACAAGTTTTCTACTGACATGGGTAATAGTACAGAGGAATGAGAATTGGATCGAATCTCTCAACTGCATTACTTCTCCAAGCAACAAGAACTTGGTGACAAACCCTTGTGACAAGTTACAGGACCTAGTCATTTTGCCTCTGTGACATGTGGTACCATATGTGTGCCTCAACAGTCTTATTTATGAGGCTCATGTGATTTTTGGTCTGTGGCTAATGGGTGTTGAATATGTGGATTTTTTACTTGGAGGGCTCTGGAAAAGATTCTTCAGTTGTAGGACAAAAATCATTGTCTCTACACTAATACTCTACAGTTAGGCAACGTCACTCTTATAGCAGAGCCATCATCAGAAAGCTAGAAAGATTGTCCAATACAGGTTATGAATTTTATCATTTTCATGAATGCATTTAAATGCTCAGCAATATGAAGCCCTGAAAGGGAATAGGTTCAATATGCAGTCTAAGGGTTGGGTTCCCCTGGGAACTTAAGTGGTCTACCATGGTATAATAAGCCACCCAACCTTAGTGATACATTAACAACCATTTTATTTTGCTCTTGTGGGTCAGGAATTTGGACAGAGAACAGGGATGTTTGTCTCAGCTCTGTGACGTTTGAGCTCTCATCTGGGAACACTGGAGTGGCTGAGGGTGACTCAAATGACTTGGATTTGGAATCATCCGGAAGTTTCTTCACTGAAATAACTGGCACTTGAGCTGGTATGACTCAAAGGCAGTACTTAGCTGGAACTCTTGACTGGAGGGCTTACACATAGGCTTTGCATGTGGCTTGAACTTTCTGAAAACATGGTTGCCTCACAGTGGTTCCTCTTTTTAACATGGTGGCTCAGGAATCCAAGGATGAGAATTCCAGAGAACAAAATGGGCTCTGGATGGCCTTTTCTGACCTAGCATCACTTCTGCTGGACTCTACTTCTGGAAGCGGACATAATCTAACCAGATTCAAAGGAAAGGTACATATGGGGCACCCGGGTGGCTCAGTCAGTTAAGTGTCTGACTTTTGATTTCAGCTCAGGTCGTGATCTCAGGGTCCTGAGACAGAGCCCAGTGTTAGGCTCTGTGCTTAGCTGGGAGTCTGCCTGAGGATTCTATCCCTCTCCTATATGGGAGAGCCATATGATGATGGCTCTGCTATAAAAGAGTGAAATTGCCCCTCCCCCAACTCCTGCACTTACGAGTGCACTCTCTCTCAAATAAATACATCTTTCAAAAACAAAACAAAACAGGGGTGCCTGGGTGGCTCAGTTGGTTAAGCGTCTGCCTTTGGCTCAGATCATGATCCTGGAGTCCTGGCATTGAGCCCCAGGTCAGGCTCCCTGCTTGGCAGGGAGTCTGCTTCTCCCTCTGCCCCTCACCCTGCTCGTGCTCTTTCTCTCTCACTCTCTCTTTCAAACAAATAAATAAAATCTTTAAAAACAAAAACAAAAAACAACCCAAAAAACAAAAGGAAGGTACTTAGACTCCACATCTTGATTAAGGGAGTAATTGCAACTTAAAAATGATCACAATGTATATCGCCTCTGAGGAATATTTTTGGACCAGGTTCAGGCCTCATACAGCTCTGTATGCTAGAAGGTCTCCTACCAGATCTGAGGCTACCAAGGCTTAAAGGGGATTTACTTTGCAATACAAAGAACCTCTGTCCATCGAAATATATAGGTGGTCAAGACAGTTAGCTGGCCTTCCCTGTATTCTCCCTTCCCATAGCTAAGAGTGCATGATTCTGGACCTTCTTCTGACTCTTCCATCACATATGATTGCTGCCTTCTTTCTGACACACAAATCTGATCTTTTTACTTCCCTGTTTATAATCCTTCAAGGATTTCCTATCATCTCCAAGATAAAGTCCAAGGCCATTAGCATCACCTATAAGCCCCTTTATGATCTGACCTGGTCCACTGAAAACTCAGATGCTATGCTGTTGTACAAAATATGGAAAGACGGTGTTTATATAATTAGTGAGTTCAAATCCCAGTTGCGTTGGGACTCATCGATGTCCTAGAGCTCAAGGGAGAACCTTTCTTCCCTCAGTTGATGGTAGCGTACAACAAAAATGGTCTAGTTTCCACTGGTTTCTTTGGTAAGCCAGTCCTTGATGGGTTCTTGTTCTGAAGTTAATTCTCCCCTTAGATGCTTAGTCCTTTGTACTGATGCCAGCTATTGGTCCTGACTCTTCCAACATTTCATTCTCAGGGGCCCTGTCCTTCCAGGTAATCTATCTGCCCTTAGTCAGGGCCTCCCACACCATCACACACATTTTAGTAACTTTCAATCTCAAAACAAGAAAGGATCAAAAGGCCTTTTTGTCCATAGAGATCCCTCTATATACATTTTTGGATGTCTAACTCTGCCCAACAGCATCTAAGGTCCATAGAGCAATCAATAAGTGTGTCTGACCCAGCTTAACCCATATAGGAACTGAGCCCAGGTCCTGATTCAGCCAAAATGTCCTAGAACATCTGCATTCAATATCAGGTTATTCATGGATCCCTTGAGGTAGGGTTGCTGGATAAAACACAATGCCCAGTTAAATGTGAATTTCAGATAAACAATGAATAATTTTTTAGTATAAGTATGTCCCATGCAATATTTGCATGGATAATGTATGGATAATTACACATATTTGTGGAAAGGTCCAAACAGCTTCAAAAGATCTAAGAATTACTGATACAGAATTTGCTGAAGGAACTGATGTGCTTGAGTAACTTGAAATGGGTATGTAAAACTACTGCATGCAACCTACTTATATGAAAAACTATTCATTGTTTATCCGAAATTAAAATGTAACTGGGCATTTGTGGGGTCTTCTTGTTTGTTTTTTTGTTTTTGTTTTTTTACTTATAAGTCTGCAACCCTTAAGGCCAACCATATCTGTCTTAGGTTCATGGATTATAGGACTGGTATAGCCTGAGAAAAGAACTAAGTGTACGTCTTTTTTTTTAATATATATTTTATTTACTTATTTGACAGAGAGAGCACAAGCAGTGGGGAGAGGGAGAGGGAGAAGCTCCTCTCAGTAGGGAGACCAATGTGGGACTCGATCCCAGTACTCTGGGATCATGACCTGACCTGAAGGCAGGCGCTTAACTGACTGAGCCACCCAGGCACCCCTAAGTGTATTTCTTTTTTACCAAATTATGTATCCATTTAACATAGGAATACCAGGGTGAACTGGAAGAACCAATTCCAACTCCTTTAGCTCTAAATATCAGGATGTATTATCATTATTGTCTTTGGGTTTTACATTGTTACAGAGTGACTATGAGACAGTGATGAGACAGTGTCATCAATTATGGCCAGTAACTTCCTTGTTGAATTCCCAGAGCAGAAAGATACTGCACAAAGTTCTTGAGATGGCCCACTTGGAAAGTTAAGTTACATAAATAGCAGCTGTTCAGGCTGACTGAGGAAGGGAGCTCAAACAAGTACTCTTAATTATTCAATAATCCCCTGAGATTGGGACTAGAACTATCAGAGAAAATGGAAATCTTCATTTTTGTCTTCCCATTAAGTCCTGACACAGCCAGCAATTAACACCTTTCTTCTCACCACTATCTGTAATTCCATAATCAGGCTAACCTTCCTACCAAATTCTTCTACAGAAGTTGTTCTTTTTCTCATTTTTTGGGTTTGTTTGTAAATTTTCTTTGGAGAAAAGAAATACGATTTTTTTTTAAGATTTTATTTATTTCTTTGACAGAGACAGATCACAAGTAGGCAGAGAGGCAGGCAGAGAGAGAGGAGGAAGCAGGCTCCCCGCCAAGCAGAGAGCCCGATGTGGGGCTTGATCCCAGGACCCTGAGATCATGACCTGAGCCGAAGGCAGAGGCTTTAAATCACTGAGCCACCTAGGCGCCCCAAGAAATACGGTTTTTAAAAAAAGTTCAAACAAGGCAAATGGTTATACAATGACCCATAATGACCCTTAGTCCCCGGACCGAAGGTTCCTAACTTGACTTAGGGACCGCAGTCTAAGGAAGGGAGGGGGTCTAGACCCGTCAGTTCCCTGAATGCATGATTTTCAATGTTCTGATAATGTGCATTTTTGTGATGAAAGGATCCAAACTTTTCCATGAGCCTCAGAAAGTTCCATGCCTAAGAACTCTCGAGGCACGATTTGCTGAAAGGACTGAAGCGCCTGCGGAGTTCGGCACGGGAGAGAGTTACTCGTGCCAGTGTAAAAAGCCCACTCCCATCCACCAAGTCCGGCCCCCTCAGAAAGTACATTCTCTGCGGAAACAATCAAGGCTCTTTTCTCTCCAAGTTTTCCGCCTGCCGCATTCCTTCCCTCTGGCGCGTCGGCGTGCACTGACGTCATGACGCCGCACACGCAACCCCGCCCCTGCAGAGCTCCGCGCTGGGACGGAACCCGGGTTTCTCTCAAACCCGGAATGTGAGGCCTGGGCTTGGCGCTCTCTGGCTCCGTGCCCCGCTGTTTATCCGGGCCTGCGTGTGCCGCTGCTGCCCTATAGCTCGCCCCGGAGGAGCCAGGGCGGCCGTGCGCTTCTGCCCTGTGCCCGCGTGGCTGCCACCGCCCGTCCGAATCCTCCGGGGCCGCAGAGGAGTTCGCTACGGAGGGAGGCGGGGGCCTTCGGGAGGAGGAGGCGGAGGAGGCGGAGGAGGAGGGAAGGAAGATGGCGGCCGTGGAACTAGAGTGGATCCCAGAGACTCTGTATAACACCGCCATCTCCGCTGTCGTGGACAACTACATCCGCTCCCGCCGAGACATCCGCTCCTTGCCCGAGAACATCCAGTTCGATGTTTACTACAAGGTACGGGCGGTGGGCCTGCTCCCCGCTCCCCTGCGGCAACCCCGGGGGCCGCACCCCCTTCCACGTCTGCGAACCCTCGCAGTTAACCCCTCACCCCTCGTAGCAGGATCGCCTCCCGAGACATCTGGTGCGGTCTCTAGGTTGCCAGTAGGAGTACCCTGTCTCCATGTCCTCTGTCTGAAGCTCTTGGGCCTTGATTGGTATCTCTTCCTAATGAGACTCCCCGTTTTTTGGTGTTCCCTCCTACACTGTGCCCGCTCCCCCCCCCCCCCCCCCCCCCCAGTTTGGGTAGGCCTTTTGCGTGGACTTCCTCTATTGCGCCCCTGTACCACTCAGTCCTTCACTTCCAGCCTGTGCCTTCAGGATATTTTCTGCCCTTTACCCAGATGAAGTGTCAGCATTAGCTGAACTTTTTGCTCTGCTCTTATCCCCCCTTCCTACTTTCTCCTCTTGCCGCCCCTCATCCCAAAAATCTTTTCTCCTTCGTGTTCTTCGTTTCTCCTTTCTCATCCTAATCGAGAGGGAGTTGAGGATTTACTGGAGATAGTTGTGTGCTTTATTCGCATATCCTTTAAAGCTTTGGTTTTTGTTTATACTTGAGGTCGAATTGGGGATTTTGTTAATAGGTGAGTGGTGATAAACTGTTTGAAAGGAAAAGGGGGAAATCTTTCCTGAAAGAAAAAAAAAATGCTTTAGAATTTAAATTATGTTCATGTATTTGAAAGTTGCAATCTTGCAGCATTCCTGAATAGCTCCCCCTCAGAAATCTGAACAAAAAGTCTCCCAAGTCACTCTCCAAGGAGTTTCAAGGGTAAGTGTCTTAGACGTGGACAGTTTTTGCAATGTTTGGAGAGGGAGGAGAACTTTATGAACTCGGAGCCTCCCTTTCCTCCCCCCCCCCCCCAACATTTGAATGTGAACAGTGGACTTATTATTCAGTCCTCATTGCCTTGAATCAGCGTGGATAACTCTCCAGAAGTCTCCAGTAGCCACCCGTGCAAAATGTGACCAGAAGTGGAGTACGACTTATTTTTTAGATCTTAAATACTTCTTGATTAGTAACTTGGCTAGAACACAACGTAAACTGATATTTAACAGATGTGTATGTTCTTATATATGTATGGTGTTTTGTGGCAGTTGTTTTATTGGGAAGATTGCCCACTTTCTCCACCCCAGAATAATTTTTCAGAAAGCAGCTGACTTGCTACATTTTACTAAATCCAGCTGCATTACACCAGTTCTAACAATTCAGATGGCTTTTTTTCCCCCATAAATATTTGGAGAAGATTTATTTTGGTTATTTTATTATTTGGCCCTGGGGTAGAGAAAACCTCCCTTCATCCTAAATCCCTTTGATAAGTTGATTTACTTTTATATGTATGTAAGGAAATTTTGTATATTTAAGATTCATTCCTCCCAAGGTAGAATGAATTTGAAATTTGTCTTTCCCTGCCTGGGGAACTACTGCTTTGTGTGTATGCTTACTCTGTCCATTATATTAAATCTTATGTAATCTTTTACATTCCTAAGAGGACATAATTGGAAATTCAAGCAAAATACGGTTACTGCTTGAATTCCCTCAGAGTATACTTGACTATCTTCTAATAACTTTTGCTCCTGATCGAAGCTTTTTATTTGAAGATTATTATTAGTATGAACAGATGGTGCTTTTGCCACATCTTCTGATTCACGTAAATTCAGAGTTTTAATATTGCTTCTTTTTGGTACACTTCTAAATTGTCCTATGTCTGATGAAAGTGTGGCAGTGTGCTAAAGTGCAGGAAGGTATTTAACATGTGCTTGGAACTGTGTTAAGTGCTTTTACACATATTGTCTTGTTTAATTCTCAAAAGTAAACCATGGAGTAAGGTATAACCCTTTGTTAAAGGTGATAAAGTTAGATAATTTAGTCAAGGTCTAATACTTAGTATTTAGTTTCTGTGTTCTTGCTTTCTTGCTTGAAAAGATTTTGCATTTTGAGGTAATTGATGAAAGACATTTATAGAACAAATTCCTGGACTTGAATCTTTGATGGAAATAGAAGAAGGAGCTTCTCTTACTTTAAAACGTGGTATGAATACATAAATATAAATACTTTTTAAACATTTGAATGCATATGAATATAAGATCCTCATCCCCTGCCCAATTTGTGAACATTTTAAGGCTATTTACAAGTTTGCAGTTTTATCCAATTTAGAACCAAGGAGAAAGGCATTATCAGATTCCTTCAGCAGTCCCAACTTCCAGTAATAGGCATAGTCACATACAAAATTAGAATATTTGTGGAACCAAAAAATACCCCAATCCTCTTGATTGTTGTAGTTCAATGTAACTGTGTTAATTTTTTTGTGAGTAGCTTCAGGCAAAGGCATAGTCTTTGGACTATTAGGAGATGGGGTTTTGGAATGAATAGATGAGGTAGGCATGCTGACTGCTCCCTAAGGAAGGGAAAGGAGAGAGGTGTTGATATATAGAAAGGATAAAATGTAAAGGGATTTTTTTTTTTTTTTAAGAATGGAAGACATTAGGGGCGCCTGGGTGGCTCAGTGGGTTAAAGCCTCTGCCTTCGGCTCAGGTCATGATCCCAGGGTCCTGGGATCGAGCCCCGCGTCTGGCTCTCTGCTCCGCGGGGAGCCTGCTTCCTCCTCTCTCTCTGCCTGCCTCTCTGCCTGCTTGTGATCTCTCTCTCTCTGTCAAATAAAAAAAAAAAAATTAAAAAAAAAAAAAAGAATGGAAGACATTAGAATATATTTATTGGCTGAATGGCAGAAACCAAAATGGAATGAGAGTCCAGTTGTACAAGTAAGGTGGGAAATGAATGAAGCAGAATCCCTGGACAGGAGAATTAATTAACGAGTCTTACCTCTTCCTTCACCATGCATAAATTAAGGTATTGGTCTTAAATTGAAGTATGTATCTAAGGAAGAAGCAAGAATACTTGCTTCTCTGAGATCGGATGGAAGGTGTTGGGGATATAAAGTATCAGCATAGTGACGTTTGCAAAGAATGGTTGTCATGAATGGGAAGATCATCAGCTTAGAGGAAGGGATAAGAGTGGTGGTTTCTGTTTTGGAGGCCAAACTGAAGTTGAAAATGGCTGCTGATGTATATGGGAAGGGAAGTTCACCAAAAAAAATGTGTTTTAAAAAATAGCAAGTGGGGAGCATCTGGGTGGCTCAGTTGGTTAAGTGGCCAGCCCTTGATTTCCACTCAGGTCATGGTCTCAGGGTGGTGAGATCCAGCCGGCATCCGGCTCTGTGGTTGCCAGGCAGTGGGCTTGGGACTCTCTTTCTCTCTCCCTCTGCCCTACCCCACCCTCATGTGCTGTCTCTCCTTCTCTCTCTCTCTCAAATAAATCTTTTTTTTTTTTTTTTTTAATGACAGGTGGGAAAAAATGTAATTTTAAAAAATGACAGGTGGTATAGATGGCTCAGTAAAAATCCATATTTTACAAAATAATGTTATTGAATATGAATAGCTTTTAACCAGGGGTGCTCATTTAGGTATAGAAATGGGGGGAAAAAAATGGAAAGATAAATAGAAGGAATTGTAAAATTATATACCAAGTGAAAGCAAACAGTGAAGGGCTGATTTTTTTTTTTTTTTTTTAAGATTTTACTTATTTACTTGTCAGAGAGAGAGCAAAAGCAGGGGGAGGCATAGAGGGAAAAGCACACACACACACACACCGCTGAGCAAGGAACCTGACACAGGACTCAATCATGGGACCCCAGGATCATGACCCAAGCTGAAGGCAGATGCCCAACCAGCTGAGCCACCCAGGTGTCCCTGAAGGGCTGGGTTTTTTAAAGAATGAAGTTTATGATCTTTTAAACTGCTGAACGGTCTATTTTGTATCCTATTCCAATTACAAAATTGTCCATAGAGTTAAGTTTTGGTTAGGTAAAATGTTTCCATAATATGTTCTACTTACTATTTTCAGTCTTAACAACTTTGGTTTTTATTATAATTGTAAGTCTTATGCTGAAAACCATTAATAACTTTAGAGTTCATTTTTTCTTTTTCTATGTATATTTCTGTTGTATACCTATATAATGCTTCAACTAATTTTCTGATAAACTTTTGTTAACAAATTGAAAAAAAATTCTTGCAACATATTTGACAGCCAGAGAGTTAATAATCTTTTCATATAAAGAGCTCTTGGGCTTAATAAATTGAGAACTTAAACTATGGGGTAGGGGCATAAAAGACCATAAATAGCCCTCCATACCATATATCTCTGGATGGTAAGGTAATATGTTATAAATAATACCAGCTCATCTCAGTTTAAGCTGTGAATATATCTGATATATGAATCAGACACTCAGAACTTTATTGGTATAGGAAAGTGATTAAATATTGAAGTTTGTCTAGGGGAATTGATTATATGAGAATAAATGAGTCGAAGAAATTTTGAAGATGCACAATACTTAGGAGAGATGTGCGTTATAAGATAGTAAATTATATTAGAAAGCCACATATTTTAAAACAGTGTAGCATTGGGGTGCCTGGATGGCTGTTGTTAAGCTTCTGCCTTCGGCTTAGGTCATGATCCCAGGGTACTGGGATTGAGCCGTGTGTCAGGCTCCTTGCTCCACCGGAAGTCTGCTTCTCCCTGTCCCACTCCCCCTGCTTGTGTTCCCTCTCTCCCTATCTCTCTCTGTGTCAAATAAATAAATAAAATCTTAAAAAAAAAAAAAAGTGTAGCGTTGGCACAAGAACAGCAGAGAGATTATAGAATGTAGGAAGCAGTCTAGATAGAAATCAGAGCATATTTAAGAATAGTTAAATGAGGGGCGCCTGGGTGGCTCAGTCGGTTAAGCCGCTGCCTTTAGCTTAGGTCATGATCCCAAGATACTGGGATCAAGTCCCGCATGGGACTCCTTGCTCGCCGGGGAGCCTGCTTCTCTCTCCACCTCTGCCTGCCACTCTGCCTGCTTGTGTGTGCATGTATGCACGCTCTCTCTCTGGCAAATAAATTAAATCTTTTAAAAAAAATT